TGCGAGACCTGGTGTGGCGCCAAGTATCATCAAGATGAAGGATATGAAGGACCTCCCCCAGTACGCTCATCACAATACCTATGGGGCCTGCCGAACAACGAGATGCGCTACCGACGCAAAGTTATGTTGGACAATCTACGAATGAGAGCATCGATTTTCTTGGCAGCAGCATGTGCAAGGCATTACATCCCCATGCTGCTGGTACATCCGAAGAGAAACTGGCGACCGCAATCACCATCGTGCTGGAGTATCCCAGAGTTACGATCGCTCATGAGATTGCCCAATGTATGCACGATCACAATTGACCAATGCACAATGGGATACATTTCCAAGAGGCCCACTACTATCCTCCAGATATCGTGCAGCAGTTTCAGCGCCCTGATCAACGAGAGGTATGGCAGCGGCCGTTGCAGTCACCAGAGTCATGAAGGCTACACTGGACGCGGCAGCAGAGGAAGCGAGCAAATTGCCCAGATCAGAGAGATACCATCCGAATTATCAAGATGCATCGCGCACGCATTTTACACATCCTGGAGGGAACGAGAGTATGCCAGAGGTACGTCTTTGGAACACATCGAGCAGGAGCTGCTCCAGCTGTATGCACCGATGGACTTCGACACCATGGACCTTCCCACCAGCCAGGATGCTACCACATGGTACGATGAAGAGGTCCAACGCCCAAGTTCTGGGACCTGGAGTGCCAGTTCATGTCCCCCGTGGCGCTCTGCGCACGGGCCGCCGCTGCTGCAGGACAACCACGAGGTTTGAGCGGCGCCTGCGGGACCCCCCGGAGGGAGCGGCGGGGGCCCCCAAGGCCCCAATGCCCTTCGGGGGGTCGTCGTTCGTCCCCCTTTCGTCTCCGTCGTGCCTCCAGGTAATGATAGCGATGGCGGCGGCGTCTCCACCCCCCTCTGGGCGCGGCCGCGGGCCGCGGTCGCGTCGGCCGACACGACGCGCGTCGCGCAGCGTTGGCGATGATGAGGAGGAGGAGGAGGAGGAGGAGGAGGAGGAGGGAGGAGGAATGGGACCAGCGTAAACCCAAGACCCATCAACAATGTTGCAAGACATCCTCCCTCCGAACTCTCTCTTCACAGGCCCTACAAGGATTCATCTCTTCGCTGACGGAAGTGCCCCGTTTGAAAGCCGCTTAAAAACCCTGAACTATGCCAGAACACCCTCCCCTGGATCTCAACACCGCGAATCACCGCTGCTATCGCGCATTGGTGATCTTGAACCGTGCCAGAACACAATTTTGGGAACCTCAACTCCACGTGCCAACGTTCCCGTTGCGACCTGAGGGTCCTACACCGTGCCCAAACCCCATGTCTGGCGCGTTGGCCATGAGAACATCTAAAAAAACGGCTGTGAACTCTGAACGCGGATGTACGCGGCGCCTAGGCGACAACCACGCTGTGAGAAGGGACCGCCCTCCGTCCGCGAAGTTGTGGCGCTCGGGCGAACACCGCATTTTGAAAACGACCCGCCTACCAACGGGGAGGCCCTCGCATTTCTGAACGAGGACTGCGCGCGGAGCTGAAGCGAGAGCCACGTGTTTAGAAAGCGGCCCACCCCCAAGCCGCGAAGCTCCTGCAGTTATGGTCTGAGCGGACCGGCGCGGCGCAGAGGCGTGAGCCAGATTGTGAAAGCAAAGGGGACCGCCCTCCATCCGTGGAACTGTTGCAGACTTTTGAACTTCAGGATCCGTGGTGATTCGGGGATGGGCAGACCTCCCTTTAGTAAAACGTGGTTTAGTGAAAACGACCTGAGGCCCAAACCTGGCGGGCGCAAGCCTGGAAAATGACGGCCGCGGCGCCCTCTCCAGAACCGAAAACGGACAATTCACTAATCGACGTGTCAGGGTAGGAGGTCTGTCCACCCCCGAGTGATGAGGAGTTCTGAAGTGAGCGGCCCGGCCCGCCCTTTCGCCTAGCCTCGGGGTGCGACATGGAGGAGCAAGTCATAAGGAGAAGACATGGAGACGCGCGAAGAGGATGAGGGGGGGGCAGGGGGCGGGGGAGGAGAAGGAGGAGTGAACTCGCTTCGGGGGGGGGCAAGAAATCGGCCAAGCCGGCCCGACATCATTACCTTGGCAGGGCGGTTGGGCGGTCCTGCCTGCCCTCGGGCGCCAGCGGGATGCAGCGGCAGCGCCCCCAGCAGGGAACCTGACAAAACTCTGGGCCCCAGGACGGAGCGGCGTTGGGTTCCGAGCCACCTGCCCTCAGAGGCTCGCTAGATCAGGCTGACGACGCAGGAGCAGTCTTACTTGTGTCTTGCAAGGATTGTGCATTGCCTGGGGCGTGCACCGACGATGCTTGAGATGGTGATACGAGCTGTAGACCAGACCAAAACAAATAACAACACATCTTATGTTCCTGGGCGCCGTCACCGTAGTCGAAGGCCGAGAGGAGCATGGGGAAATACAACCCAAGTTCCGAAAAGCGCGGGCAGAAAGCAAATGTGGCGAAGGGAGCCCCCCAGAGCAAAGCACCCGCAATGCAATCTTTCGTAAGAAATTTGAATCCACCGCTACACATCCAACAATTGCAAAGGGTCTCGAACAAAACAGCGAACTCACACGGGGGAACCTGTTCGGCAACCCTCTCGAAAACAGCCCTAAGTTTATATGCCTCACTTCGGGAAGCATGGCGGGTTCATGTTTTTTCCCGTGCGGCGGCCGATCATCAGGAGGAGGACTTCTCTGAGACACTGGCCAGGTATTTTCCGAATTTCCCACTGCATGTACGGGACACGCAGAAAAGAGATCTGAAGTTGTCGTAAAAGCGTTTCATGGTTCTACCCCTCCAAGCTGGACGCTGTTGCCAAATCGTGCAACACACGTCGGCGCCGTCCACGCTGAAGAAAAGCCCCTCCACATTCCAAAAGGCCGAGATTTTCTCGGCGACACGAAGCCCGGCAGCCTGACTCCTGAGACGCGTCTGGGCGGCCTGGAAGAGGGAACCAAGCGCTTGCATGTTCTGGAGGTCTTGGGGGGAGTTGGCATTGAACGGGCCCCGGACAGCAGCGTGGATCACCCTGGCCTCCTGCCAAAAAGCACATCAAAAGGCAAGGAGCAGAGCTGGCCAGCGGAATCAATGACAGAAGTGCACAGCACGTTACAGTGGGAGACGGACTTCGCGAGGCCTAAATCCAAGCCCTGCACCAAGAACGCTCTCTCGCGGAACTTGCCAAGTGGGATCTTCCACCTTCTCTCCTGGCCGTGCTGCCCCAGCAGTAAACCAAGATGTATTGCGCACGGGAGTGCTTGACATTTGGCGCGTCGTCTGAGTCGAGCGATGCTGCGACGAAACACATGTTCTGAAACACCGCCTCAACATGACAACCAAAGAACCAGACATGAAACAACCCTGCTGAATGCCACGAGGTAGGTGGAACCCGTGGTCTCGACATCCTCGAAACGATACCGCGACAAACACATTGTCATACATGGCCTGGGTAGCTTTTCGAACGTGCCGACGGAAATTCACTTCGGCCAGGGTAGCATGATATCAGCATGAGTGAGGTTGGTGTAGGCCACTCTGATTTCGAAACATGCATATCCGCTGTGCTGAACTGTTCTGCTGAGCCAGCCTTGGGAGATACTTCGCTTGGTAATCCACGATCTGTTCCAGCACCAGATGTCCCCGAAGAAGACCTCGCTGCTGGGGATAGAACACTCTTCGGTATACGACGCTGCGCGACACGTTGAACACCGCCGAGACAAACTGATTGTCCGTTTTCGAATGCGACATAGGCCGTGTCCTCTTTGCGGCCCTCACTACGTAGGTCTTGTCAGTAGGCTCGACGCCCTTCGATCGGAAGACCACCCTGGCGTCACTAAAGCTGGGCGTGGTGGAGCCAGCCTCGAGGATCTGAAGGTCGAGCGAGTAAAGGGTCTTGGCGGCGGTCTCGCCTGCACGTGACCAGCCAGGGAAAGGCAGGCCGTCTGGCCTGGGTGCGCTGTCGGGCATCCTCTCCATCATCTTCCACAGATGCTCGTGCTCCAGCCCCCTGCGGATACCGAAGGGGACTTCCTGAATGCAAGGCCCGAACCATCCCAAAACGTCCTGGGAAACCTGGACCTCCTCGTGCACCTGACTCTGGTCTTCGGCAAGCTCACGGCAAGACTCGCCGGCCTCAAGAAGATGGGCGTCCGTGGTGTCCATCACCGCTCCGACCCCGTGCTCGCGGTCCTTCCTTCGACCGCCATCCACTCTTGAACGAATGCAGTGCGTTGGTCTTACTCTGCGCCCTAGGCTCAGACGTGTGCTCGTCATGCCCAGTCTCCTCCAGCTCGTTGGCCAGGGCTTGAATTTGCCAACCTGCCTGGAAGTCGTGATGCTGTGGATGCCGGGCCAGGCGACACTCCCGAAAGCTGAAGTAGGTGTTGAGCTGCGGGAAGGCCTTCAGTGCCCTGTAGAGCACCACGGAGTTACCCGACCTCACGGACCGAAGGGCCGCGAGGCCCCATGATAACTTGCAGGCCTCCGAAACCGCTCCAAGATCCTCGAGATCGTCTTTGAGAATCTTGGCCGCCGCGATAAGACAGTCCCGAACATCGGTGCAGGCCTCGCAGGGTCCTCGGAAAGTCCTCCAGTTCCCTCGATCGTTTCCTCGACGACCTGGCTGGACCTAGGATGCCTGGTGACCCAGGATGGGATTCGACTAGGGCTGCTCGTAGAAGGTTGGAGAGAGAGAGAGAGAGTACGACCAATATATGGTCAGACAGCCCTCTGATGTCGGCTGATGATCCGATGACCTCACTGCCGGGCTCAGCTCGCAGAGATCGGCGGCAAGCAGACTGGCATAGATGTGATCGAGACGGGACCGAGATTCCACAACCTTTCCATCTTCTCTTCTGCCCTCTGGTCTGTGCGGGAAGGAAGCCTGCTCCGGTTCGGCCAGATGAGGGAGGAGGCGCCGGGGACGAGGAGGAGGAGGAGGAGGAGGAGGAGGAGGAGGAGGATAAAGAGGAGAAGGGGGGGGGAGGAGGAGGCGCGGACCCGTGGCGAACGCGTTCCCCCACTTGTCGTCGATCAGCTTCAGGCAGGGGCCGTAGCAGCCCGCCTGCTGGCCGCTGCTGGGGTTCACGGCCTGCGGGGCCGACGAGGCTCCGCGGGCGCAGGCCGCCAAGGTCCTGCCGTCCTCGTTGTGCGGTGTCGTTCCACCGATCCCTCCTCCTCCTCCCTCCCTCCTCCCTCCCTCCTCCCTCCTCCCTCCTCCTCCTCCCTCCTCCTCCTCCCTCCTCCTCCACGAACCTAGACGTGCGACGCCTTGACGTCTTCAGTGCGGGGCCCCCGAAGCCCCGGCCCTCTCTCCCCGGGGCCCGCTTTCCGTCCCGAGTCGCTCCTCGACGGCGCCCGAGGCTCGGCGAAAGCCCCTCGGAGGCCGCCGAACACGACCACGACGCCTCCCGTCGTGACTTGTTCTAAGCGCCCGGACACACCCAGAAGGAGGGAGGGAGGGGTGGGGGGCGGAGAGCAGGGCTGTTCTGATTCGATGCGCGGCATGTGCAAGGGAATGCCTGCTCGTGGGCCCCCTGCAGGGCTCGCTCCGCAGAGCGAACGACTAGACTACAGACGACGTACACACCGTAAGGGTGCGAGAGCGAGAGAGAGAGAGAGAGAGAAACGGAAGGAGAGACGAGGAAGGACAATCAGAGAGGGCCTGAGAAGGAAGGATGGATGGAGGAAGGGAGTGCGGAATGAAGGAGGGAGAAACTGTCTATTTGGAGTCAAGCGCTAGATCCCGCGCAACTGCTGCCGCAAGATGCGACGGAGGAGGACTGATGAAGGTCGCGAAAGACGAGACCAAGCGAGGGCCAGAAAAAGACAGCGAACGGAGGGACCGACCGAGGTGGAAAGCGAGGCCCGAAACAACGCAGGGACACTCCAGCAACCAGACAATGCAGGTTAAATCAATGCAAGAACTGCCAGCAGCGGGCAGCTGGTGAAGTCTCCTGGCTGCGTTCAAGCAAGGAGGCCCTTGTAGCCGCCACATTCTACATCATTTGTCCACTTCTGGCTTTCCCTTCCCATATAAACCGGCGTTTCAGACAACCCTCTCACGAAACATGGCGCATCGGGTGTCCCGCTTCAGTCGCGGCTCGGCGTTGTTCGAGGGGGATCTGTTCTTTAACATTCATAGCGCCTGCCAGCCTCAGCAAACAACAGGACAAGATCTTCTCCTAGAGCTCCACGGCGAAAACGAACAGGCCAAAGAAGAGGCGGAACGCTACGAAGCCGTGGCAGTTGCGCAGGCTGCGCCGAAGTCCCACGCGAAACTACGCACGAAACGAGCCCAGCAAAAGAACCGCGTGCCAGGAAACACCTCGAAAGCCACAGACAACACGAAACTGCCCGAGCCCCCTCTCAATTCTGATAAACATGCCAATGCCACACGATGCGATCATCGATTTCTGTTGCGCTAACCCGTGGAACACGAAAAACAAATGCCCACATCAAAATATATGCATGAACACATCTCGGTATCGGTCAGGAGGAGTTCGCCGCAAGCGCTGCAGTCAAACTCCCATGAACGGGCCTGCACGAGGCCTGGCCCAAGAGGGTCTGGGCAAGGGGGCCTGCAATCCTCTCTGAAGATGGCCTCGCCCAGACCTGGCTTCGAAGACGAGGTTCATGAACCAGCATCCTCCTCCGCGCACGCGCCGTCCAGCGGCCCCTCCACCTGCGTGATCCTGGTGCCGTCCTGGACCTCGACTCCCACGTCGACCTGGCGCCACTCTGCGGCCTCCGCAGGCGCTCGCGGCGTCCCCGTGCCTCGCGGAAACGCTCTGGCCTAGTCGAAGCTGTCCGAAAGGACGGCAGCTGCTTAACTCCAGCGCACTCCCCGCCGGGGCTGCTCCCGGCGCTTCACGAGAACGAAGACAACAGCCTCCGCACGTTGCCCATGACCACCGATTGGAGCCGCCGCCACGCCACCTGTGGAGTTTCGCCGCCGCTGCCGAGGGCTCTGCCCGGCCACTTCCGCCGAAGCCGCGGGCCCCAAGCGTGGTCCTCGCTGCGCAGCGCAGAGGGCGTGCACCTCCACCGTTGCCAGCGACTGCACCCCTTGCGCGGCAGCATGGAGGGCCACTTTTCTGCGTAGTCTACCCATCCATGCAGGCTCAACTCCGCGTGCCAATGCGGAGAACGCTGGGAGCAGATCTCGAACCCGGTCGGCGACACCCACCGCGCCGACCAGCATGTCGAATCGATTCTCCGGCTCCTGCACGCGCGCCAGGACCGCCGCCGGACCAATGATCTGCAGCAGCCATCGCGCGCCTCCTCGCACCCGAGCGCCCGGCACGTGAGCGCCTCTTTGCATGCAGAGGGATCGCAGAGGGGGCGAGGAATGGAGGAGCAGGGAAAGAGAGAGAGAGAGAGAGATGAAATAACTGGAGGAGGGGGGCTGGAGGAAGACGAGGACAAGGAATGCCAAGGAATACCATGGAGGGACCACCGCCCGCCAGAACAACACGGGCTTCGTCCGGGGAGGAGCCCACGCGCCCCCCCCGCCGCGGGCCCCGCGCGCGGGCGGGGCGCGCGGGGCCCCCCTCGGTGAGGGCGCACAAACCGTCGAGGCGGGCGGCGCCCGCGCGGGACGCGCGCGCGCGCGCCCGCGCGCGGGCCCGCCCGCGCCCCCGCCTCCCCGGCGCTTCCCGCGACGACGACGCTCCACCGCCACCCATAGAGCGCAGAAAACCCACCCCGACAATCACCACCCCGACACGCGAGGCATTTAGTAAACGCGCCCAAAGAAGGAATCGAATAAGGCAAGGCTTTCAGTAAACGCCCAGGGCCGTTTAGTAAACGCCAATTGTCCGGTCTGGGTGGTTTTCCCTCTCTTGAACCCACCTCCACAGTCGGTTCCTCCGCCTCCTCGCCTCTCCCCACTCTCCAGGCCGCGGCCGCCGCCGTGACGACAGCGCAGAGGGGGCCCTCTGCGGGAAGGGAAGAGGCCACGTCACGACCTGACTGTAGGTTCTGAATGCCTCGGGGGGCGGCGGACCTGTGTGCAACGGCCAGCCATCTTCCGTCGACGGTGGCCGTGGACCCGCAGGTCGAACAAGCATGCAAGGACAACTCTGGCCAAATAAAAAATGCCCCCGGGGGTGTACCACAGTCGCCCCAATGAGCACCTCCCCCGCACGACGCACAAACTGGGACCAATCCGAAGTTTGTGCGTCGGGGGGGAGGTGCTCAATGGAGGAGGAAGCAGGGGCCTGGCCCTTAGTGGGCCCTGGAAACGACAGGGCCGCTTTGTTACCAGTTCCGTTTTGCAATTTCTTTGCCGGTTCCGACGCCGTCTTTTTACCCGTTCCGTCGCCGTTTTTTGACCGGTTCCGGCTCCGGCAATCCTGGAGCCGTTTTGTTGCCGTTTCGGGTCGCCGTTTTTTTGTTCCCATGTTCAAGGGGCATTTTTTTCGAAACGGTTGCCGTTTCCGGGGCCCACAAAAAGCCTGGCCAGGGCGAGGGAGGAGTACGGAGGAAGGAGTGATTTCCGAAGTTTGGTATCCAACAGTTGGTATTTCAGATGGTCCAGAGGGACGGCCTGGATGGACTGGGCAGACCCCGTTTCCGCAGTGCATAAGCCCAATCCTCTTTTGCAAATTCGTCTTCACCCCCCTCCCCTTCATCATTTTTGCTCGTCCATTTCTCCACCTCATACTCCAATTCCTCCTCCTCCTCCTCCTCCCTCCTCCTCCTCCTCCTCCTCCTCCTCCTCCTCCTCCTCCTCCTCCTCGTCCATGCAAATAGTCAACGATAACGCCGTGCGGGCGAACCTGCATGCTCACTGCTCCGTTGCCGCCGCCGAAGTCCTCGTTCGCGGGGCACTGGTCGAGCGTGAGGCCGGAGCAGTCGATCTGACTGAGGGAAGGGCGCCCCGAATATCCAGGACGGATAGAGAGGAGATAGCATTACAATTGCGGGTGGTTGTGGTGTAAGACAAAGGGCATGGCGGCACCGGTAACATGGGAGATAGCAGAACGGCTGTCCTTTTCCCTCCCAGTGCTGTCTAGGTCCGCGTGCACGCTGTGAGCCAAAATGGCGGCGGGCGCGCACGCGTGCTCCTATTCGAGTCGGGGCTACTGGGCAATGGAGAGGATCGTTCCGCAACACATCGGCTTCAGAGGGCTACACCCGCAATGAGGTGCTAGAGCTTTCATCGCGAGACATCGGCCGCGGAGGCTTAGCGCAACTCACCCATGACTCAACAACCTCAGCCCGAACGGAATAATGCGAACCCTCAGAGGCTTGCCAACTCGCTTGTGGCCAGTCTGTACGCGTGATAAGCTGAGCCGACCATGACCACGGTTGTGGATCGTGACGACTCCCCACCTCCGGGAGAACCGAGGGGCAGGCTCTTCACCCAGTGGGACCGACCGATGCCTTTCAGCCGGGAGCGTTACTCGTGGGGGCCTGGCGCACATCGTGCCCAGCGTGCGCTCAAGCTGGAGCCCCGATCGTGCCTTCCAGACAGGTTCGTTCCATAGCTCTACTTCCGGCACGCTGCTGGCGTGGCCGTTCGACGTCGGCACTCTTTTGTGAGTAGGTGCCGGCGGGCGTGGCTGGCCGTTGCGTCTCTTGCGCGGCTGTGTAGCTGGGGAGCAACCGCGCGCCCTGTTTCTTGCGCGAGCCTGGGCCTATGCAGCTCGCCCAGCTGTTTACGGCAATGTGCCTCTAGCTGCTAACGGAACGCTGACCGATCACAGCTGTCGACTGGTCCGCGCGTTGGCCTGGTGACTGCTGAGCGGCGCCGACGCGGAGCGTGCAGACTGGATGCGGCTCCCCGCAGCGCCGTGTCTCAGGTGCTTACCTCGGCTGTTCGCAGCTGCCCCATTGTCAGCAGCGCAGCCGGCCCAACGCGCCAGGCCACGGCGATGCATGCCGGCTCGTCTATGAGGAGGCGTGGCTGGTGATGCAGCACTGACCTCTGTGGTGGCGCGCTGCCGTGCTGGCGCCTCGCAACGAAGCTGGCGCGGAGGTGCCGCAGCCGGGCACGCGCGCATGGCGCCAGTCGAGTGTCTGGCGCGTCGCCTGAGCTCCGCGATGAAGACGCTCTACCTCCTCCCTTTCCTCCTCCTCCCTCTCCTCCTCCTCCTCCTCCTTCTCCTCCTCCTCCTCCTCCTCCTCCTCCTCGTCTTGGGACGGGTTGGTATTTGTTTTCGCAATGCTGGGCTGACGCTTACAGGGTCACGGGTCCAGCCAATCTCCCGCGGGACAAGAGAGGCCTTTCAGTTGGCCGAGAGGCTGGCCAGCCACTGATGGTATGGAGCGGCTTCTCGGCGAGCGTAGACCGAGATCTGCGACGAGCGCGCGGTCGGGTCATCCTCGCGGCGCTCGTCGCAACCCAGGCGCCCAGTGCCTTGTCGCCGGTGCGTCGGGTTCAAACATGCTCGAGCCTATGGGCGTCGGCGCGCGGCGGTGGCTGTCAAGAAGCACGTGCGCTCTGCTGCAGAACGCACGGGGACGGTGGTGTGCCAAATAGAGGCGCAAGAACTTCCCGACGATCCATTGCAGGCGCGGCGGGGTTCGCGCCAGCTGACAGCCGCGCGAAGGAGATGGTTCGGTCTGCTGCCCCTGCCCCAAAAATGGGGTCGCACACAGCCATGGCGACCGCGCGGTGCTATGCGCGTTGCTGTCAGGCTCCTGGCGGGCCTGGCGGCCGATACAAGTCCAGCGACTCTGGGCGTGACCTCGCCAGAACTGCCCCAGGACAGGCAACTGCCGCGCGCGTCGTCGCGCTCACGTGCAATTGTCCGCGCGAGGGCGCTGTCGCGATGTAGCGCAGACAAGGCGCACGTTGGGCGGCGCAGCGCCGCCGCCAAGCTACCGCCCCCGATCGGCGGCTCTAGCGCCAGACCGCTATCGGCAAATCCGCGCCCGCTTCACGAGCTGGAGAGGGGGCGACGAGTGAGGAGCAAGTGCATGATGACCTCCACGGCCCGGCGCCGCTACGCACTAGGGTTGGCCCGGAGATCTCCGAGATCAACTTTGCGCTGGCGTCCGCGATGCGGCCCCACTTCCACGGAAGCGCCCTCGTCGGCCATCGTCAACGATGATCTCGCCCGAGGCCTCGTGGAGGCCGGCAAACTGGGAAATTGCCATCGGCGCGAAGTCCGTCACGGCCGGATCAGCTCAGAAGTCGGCCAGATGTCGTGCATGGAGATATCCATGATGCTCTGATTATTGTTATAGTCGCTGGCATTCGCCGTGAGACTTGGCACCTGGGCGCAAGCGTCGGGGATGGTCGCCTCCTCAAGGCTGGAGGCGCCCATCCTCGCCGGGGGCGCACGGGCGCGCGTGCCTTTGCTGGCGGGCAGGGAGGCGTGCCCAAACTCCCTGGGCATCGCGACGTTGAGAATCCCGGCGCGGGAGAAGGCCTCCTGGAAGAAGTGCCCCAGGAAAAACGAAAGCTCCGCGACGGGGGCCCTGGAGGCCGCCAGCGCCAACTTCGAGGTCTGGCGGCGCGCGATGTTGAGGAAGTCCTGGACGGCCTTCATCGCGTCGTCCTTCGCCCTGTTCAAAGCGCCAACGGAGAATGGGGCCCCCCACCATCGCCGGCAGGGCCATGGGCACGTTGGCCACGTTGCCCGGCGCGCTATCCCTCAGCATGATGTTTCCCGACTGGCCCTTGGCATCCATGAGGGCATGCGCCCTCTTGACCATCGCCCCCTTGGCGCTGCGGCCGGCCTCCTCTCTGGTAAAGTAGCAATTCGCGATGCGGCGCGCTGCCCTCGCTCGGCCCCAGCCGCCCCGCCGAGTTCATGGGGGGAGTCTGGCAGATATGCCGCATGCTGGCCTCGATGCGCACGAGGCAGCCAGTCGCGGCGGCGCCGTGGTCACAGCGTCGACGCGTCGGCATTCGCGGCGAGGCGACGCGGCAGGATGCGCGACTGTTCATACAGGGGGCCTCGCGACTCGGGCTCAGGCCGCCGTCCGGGGCGATCCCAGCGCCCGGAAATTTCCACTGCAAGGTGGCGGCGGAACGAGCGCGGGAGTCTGCCTGGAGATCGGGCAGCTCCTTGATGTGCGCAGGGGTTCCCTCGGACGCGACTGCGGCGCTGCTCGCTGGAGGTCGCCTGAAGTTTTGGCAGCAGTCTTCGCTCGACTCAGTCCGCCCGCCCGCCCTGCGCTGGGAGGGCGCCCGGACAGTCCAGACCGTTACTGTGCAGATTTCAATGAGCAAGCGGATGTACCTTCCCGAATCTGCGTGCTGCGCCTGGTCGTCAGAGCACTCAGGGCCGCGCAGCGCGGTCGCACTGGGACCGCAGCGGAGCAGCGCTTGCGCGGCGAGTCGCGACGCCGGCATGAGACACACCAGCCTGGTCTCAAGAAATTCGCCGATCTGCGCTGATCGTAGTGGCCTAACTTTGGGCGCGCGCGAGTCGTCCAGAGGTCGAGCTTGCGCTCGCAAGCTGTAGATCAGAGCGCGAGCCAGGCTGAGCAACAGCCAGGAAAGGTGCACAAGTGCTAGATTGGCCCACCAACGTCGGAGTGCGCGATGACTAGGACCAAGGCATGTACTGCTTGGTGCAAAAATACGAATTCGCATCCCACTGCTGGACGCAACGAAGATGTAACGAATTTCGCCATTTTGGTCGGTAGCACAGGCATGCCAATCCAAGTCCACAGCATTTTCGTGTCGGAGTTTGCCTCAACTTCCCAGCCCAGGCTGTGCACGACCACGGTTGCGCTGGCTGGTCCCATCAGAAGAACACATACATCGTTAGCGGATGGGCCAGGACTCCCAAACAGGCGTCGATAGCGGATGGGCACGCCGCGCACATCGGGGACTTCCAGAATGGTGACACGCACATACATTCCAAACGATGTCGCAAGTCCGCCTCCGCGCACTTGCGGTTGCCGCGCACTGAGCTGAGGGGGCGCGGAGATCGGCGCGCTGGCGGCGCCTCTCGCGCGCGATCTCGCGCGCAGCCTGGGAGCTTGCGAGCGCGGCGTGGCGCGCTGAACAGCGCGGGAGCCATGGCCGCACTGCTGTTAGGATGACTGCGCGAGTTGGCGGCGCATAGATGGTCGCAGACGGCACCTGGGCGAGGGCGCCAGCGCCGCAGCCGGCGCCCCTGGGCCCCAGCAGCACCAAGAAGAGGGCACTAGGCACGCGGCCTTGCACGCGACGCCCGACACCAAGAAACCTCATCAATGGCCTTGGTCAGCGATCGGCAACGCAGAGCTGATGCCAGGGAGACTCAGGGCAGGCGGCCCCTGCACCCTGGCTTTGCCTGGGCCGCCACTCGCGCCGATGCGTCATCCCCAATGAGTAACATAGCTCTACCTTCGTCTTAACGTGTCTCGTCCCATTAAGATGACCTGGCCTGGCCTGACTCGGCGGTCTACTCCGTGACCCAACGCCCGCTTCTCTCAAGGCGCGCGCGCGGGTCATTGCCTCTGCGCAGGCGCATGTCAGCAAGCAGGTCGTGCGTGCGCGGTCTGGGATTGGCGTTGCCTGCTCGTGCATTTGTGAGAGTGGCGTCGTCTGATTGCGCCGGCAGCGTGATTGATAACCCTTGGCGGGAGGGGCGCTGCCTCGTACTCGTCTGGAGTTGAAGCTGCAGGCCCCTGTGGCGAATCGTGCTGGCGTCAACGACTGCGTGGGCTTGCCCGCGATCTCAAAGACGGTGATCTAAGCCGGTTGACGTCGGTGTTGTCGGAGCCGATGCCATGGCTGTTGTAGCGGTCTGTCGTGGTCGATGGTGTTGTCGTCGCCGTAATTGCATCTGCCGTGGTCGGCGGCGTCAGCGACATTGTTGGCGCAGCTGCTGTTGACCGAGATGCACGGGTCGAACGCAGGCGCGCACTGGCGTTTGGCGTGGGCACGGCTACTGGATGCGGCCGTGCATACGCGATGCGCTGGCGTTGAATGGCCTGGCAGGCCGTCGCGGTAGCGCACGTTGCTGGCCCGGCCTGGGCGCTGGCGCGCATTCGACGGCCGGGCGCCCGGTGCATGCGCGCGCGCCCCGACGTCGCAGCGCCGCGCGCCCGCACAGTACGCTGCGCTATATGGCAAGACGCAGCGTCGCGCAGGCACGCGCGCGCCGCGCTTCGGCGCGCGCGCGCGCCCATGCCGTGGCGGCGAGGCCATGCCGCGCGCGCATTGCGGCCTCGCTGCCTGTCGCTCGACGTGGTGTCGTTGCGCGGCGCGGCCGCGTCGCGGCGCAGCGGCGCTCGCAGACTCACAGCGCAGCCGCGCGGAAGCCGAGCGGCGTCGCGGCACGAACATGAGCGCCCCACACATGCGCGGCACAGCCACATGCCCCCCAGCTGGACCATGCTGCTCGGACAGGGCGCTGACGCGGCCTGGTACCTTGCCCGTGGCCGTAGTGAATGGTGAGGTTCCTTGGTCGGCGCGCGTCGTGGCCGGCTAGTGCAGTGTCGCGCGCGCGCAAACTGGGATGGCGGCCGACGGGCGCGCGGGCTCCTGTTCGAGCGCGGGTAGAACGCGCGGCGGCGGTGGCCGTCGCGCGCTCGGTGGTCGACGGCGAGCGGACAGGGGTCAGCCCCTCCCTTTTCCTTCCGTCGCAGACGCTAGCCAGGCGCGCGAAAACGAATAATCGCGCCGAGCGAGGTGACCACCCGCGCGCGCGCGCTCCCCGACGCCACTCAGGGTACCAGAGAGTACTGGTACTGCTGGGAACAGTCACTGCCACAGTGTGGTCGCTGAAGTGCGTGACCTGTCACGTGGGTGCCCTCGCGGAGATCGCTGATGAAAAGAACGATCTGGTTGATCCGCTGTCTAATGAGAAGAACGACGAGACGGAGGTGTCGAGGCAGTAGCACACTTACGCACATGATCAAAATATATGCTGGAAGCTGTCAAATCCCTGCGTCGGATCACTTCGGGCATACAAACGTTAGCCACGCAATCCGCGCCGTGCGTTTGACCAGATGCCAGCTGCAGCTCTCGCCGATTTAGCTGGCCAGGGTCACGCGCGTGATGCGCGCGTACAGAATGGTGGACTCCGCGCGCCCTTTTGACTAGTGCCCAGCACGAATCGTCGGTGACATGATGTCGTAAGTCGCGTGGTGCATTCTAATGCGTGAAAATATTTAGTCACACTTGGAAGCGCATACCGCTCAAGAAATGGGATCGAGTAGTCATCGGTCCATATGTTTCAAGATATGGGCGTCGAGTCATCGCTGCATACATGTCCCAAGGAATGGAGCGGGTGATCATCGTGTCAAATGTGCCCCAAGAAATGGAAGAGAGTAGTTGCACTTCACAGCAATTCGAACAAATGCGAGCGAATGATTGCAGTTCGCTGCGTGCCCGAATGAAATGGCAGCGAGCACCCCTTCGCAACCTTGCCCCCAAGGGCGGGAGCAAGCGACGCAGTTTAAGATCTCCGAAGGACTTGGAGCGAGCGCCGCAATTCGCATTCCCAAGAAACGTGTGCGAATCGGGGTATACAGGCCAGCGGCGCGCCCCTTCTTGCCGCAGCTGGTAGACTGGCGAAGTTCGGCCAGCGTCGCGCGGGCATGTGTTCAAACGCTAAACTACCTCAGTCCTGCCATGCTGCGGTTGGGCAAACCAGCGCCGCGCGCCAAAGTCGCCCCGCCCGGCGGCCATCCGCGCTCGGCTTAGTCGCCCAACGTTGGCGGCTCATACAGCTGAAGCTGATGCAGCTCAGCCCCGTGCGCAAAGGTCGCGCTTGGGCCGGCGCTCTTAAGGTCAGGCCGCGCGTGCCTGGGTGCGCGCGCGCCAGCGCCGAGCTAATGCGATCGCGCTCCGAGCCTTCAGGCATCGCGGCGCTGGTAGGTGCGCGATCGCTCCCGCGCGTCATGGGAGCGTTTCGATTGGTGGTCCTGGTTCAACTCGGCATGCAAACGCACGTCGAGGTACATCGCGTAGTGCCGCAGGTTGTAGCACAAGTTGCAGTTGTCGTTGCTATGCTCGTCGTCGCGGCAGTTGTCGTTGTGCTCATGCGTGTCATCGATGTGCCGTCGAAGTGCTCGTTGTGATTGCATGCATCGCGTGGTGCCAGCGCTATCTGTAAAACGCATTCGAGCTGCGTCTGCCGGGGGCCGCGCCGCACGGCGGCGCAAACCCGCGTGGCGGAGCAGCCTGCAGTGGCAACTCTCGCGCGGCGCGCGTCGGAAACCTGCGCCAAGCGGCCGCGAGGGCACTGTATTCGCGCAGTCGCCGGCAGCGGTTTCCATGCAGAGCCTGCCGAAGGGTCGCGCCGATCGGGGGCGCGAGCCGCGCGGCGGCGCGGCCGCCGGCAGCGGCTGCCGGGCAGGGCGCGCCCCGAGCCCGGGCCAGACGAGGACGCGGGCCCTGTCGCGGCGGCGCCGCCGATCGAGGCGCGCCAGAAAAGCGGCGCCCACCCCAGACCTGGCGTGACTCACGCAGGTCATGAACGACTGGCGCGCCGACGCGGGCACAGCTGGTCGCTCCAACTGTCGGCGCCACCACGCCTGCGGCAGACCGCACTTAGGCCTGGGGCCAGACGCGCAGCGCAGGCACCAACCCGTCGCCAGCAGGACGCCCGCATGCGCGTAGGGCCAAAGCGCGAGCAGCGTCTTCGTGGAAGACGTCTGCATTGCATGGCGATGGGATAGCGATCGTCACGCATGAGCTTGTAAACTCGCACTCCACACCATTACAATAATTACATGTACGTCGTAAGGACCAACGCCCAGTAGTGAGCAACCGCGGATGTTAAGTAGCCCAGGACACAACTTTGTCCAAGCTCGTTGTTGGCCCAAGGTGTGTCTTTATTTCAATGTGAACCAAGCGTGAATAACTGTCCGAATTGCCGCGCGCCGAGAATGGCCTTGCCTTGCTGAACCTGCTGGGGTGTCGGACTTCAGCGAAACAGGTCTGCGCTGTTCCAGGCGCGGCAAACGCCCTGCAATGATGCGGCAGACACTTCCTTCCAAGGTGACGCAAAAAGATCCCTTGCCAGCGCGCGTCGAATATTCGACGCGCGCGGATGGAGCCAAGTTGCTCAGCGACACCCACGGAGACGCACGGCGGCGCGAGCTGTCCGCTAACTTGGCCAAGAGATCTGCGCTCCATGCCCTGCGCGTGTGCCTCGTGACAAGCGGGGCGGAGTGATCCAGCCGGCCCCTTGCTGCGCCCGCCGCGCGGTCGGCGCCGGGCCCGCTCGCCTGCGCGGTCGAACGAGCTGCGGCTCTGAGCAGACACTGGCCGATGCCAGACAAATCCCCCTTCTTCCTGAGGGCCAGTTAGAACTGGAGGCGCGTTCGCCTTCGCATGGGCAATGCGCGCGGATATCTCGGCGCTGACTCGCCAGGCCGTCGCCCTCTCGCACCCTGCCTGCTGGGGGGCGCGGTGGGAGAGGGGGCTTTTGTTGCAGTATTCCTGGCGAAAACAAAATAAGCCGCAAAGGACGTCGACCGGCGTGGGTCGCGCGGCGCGCCAGTGCAAGGTGCCATTGGCTAAACTGTCGCAGGCGCGCTTTCACTGGCTGCGACGCACCGATGGCGCTGATCAGGATGACTGCATCGACGCCCTCCTTCCAGTGGCACGCGGACACGGTCCGACGTGTCCCTGCCCCGAATGTGGTCGCAGCGTGGGGGGTGGTACAGGGCGCAGCTCGCCGCTGCTGCTGCGTCCTGCTGGCAGTCGGTCCCGAGCGCGCTGCCGCGGCAGACGTGAGCGCGCCAACGTGGCGTTGGCGTGGGCATTGGTCGGCGGGTGGCCTGGCCCGCATCTGGGCGCGCGGGCCACGCGTGCGCGCTCTGGTGACTGTTGGCCAGGAAGCGCCCTCAGTCGCCGCGCGCGTCAACTGGCGCGTTGGGCCCCTCTGGGATCGGGGTGGCAACTGCGGAGGGCGGCTGTTGCTCAGCGGCAAGCGAGCTGCGCTTGACTGGAGGTAAAGGCAGCGGCGTTTTGCAGCGCCTCTCTAGCTTGGCCACCACGCGTGGAGCTCGCGGTTGCCAGCGGGCGTCGGTCGCGGCGAAGTGCGCACCCAGCCGGCAGCCGCTTCCGCGGGAGGCATCAGGACGGGGGAGATGGTTGAGGGGTGCGAACAGGGGAGGACTGAGCAGAGGCAGAGTTGTGCGATCTGGGGGCCGCGTCGCGGCACTGCCTCGCTGATGTTTCGTGGCGTGGTCGCCTTCGCGCGTCCTCCTCCTCTCGTCCTACTCCCTGACTGTTCTCCCAGTGCCCTGTCATGCGTCGTCCTCCTCGCCTTCGAGTTCGTCGTGTCTCCCGCTCTTTCGGACCCCCTGCATCCCCCGCGTCCTCTAGCCTATCCAGCGGCAGCGGTGCTCCGTGACGCGTGACGCGGCGGGGGCAAAGACGGGAGTGCGCAGCGAACCCATGGACGGGCATCCACGTCGCGCGCGGCGCGCGGCCGCGGGCCCAGAAGCTCCAGTGTACAAGCGCATCTTGGCCAGACGGAGCTGCGTGCAAAGGCGCGCGCCATCCCCGCGGCGGGGCGCCGCGGCTCGGCGCGCGGCCCCCTCTCTGCGCGCCGGCCCGATGGCCCAGGGCGCAGCAGAGAGGCCGCGCTCTCAGAGTCGTGGACACGAAGGCCTGGCGTAACAAGATGCACTGCACGGTGACAAAGGTGACACAGACGAAGCAGGACACTGAGAAATACATAGAAAGCGACACGGAGATGAACGCGTATATCGAAGAAGACGGACGTGACAAATAACTCAATGTGATAAGCAATGAAACTGAACACGCGCGTCGTGGAAATCTCGGCGAAGATCATAACCATACCCTCCAGATGCCCACCAATGCGCGGACTTTCACAGGGCGAGCAGGTCATGCTCAGCTCTGCGGGGACTTGGCAGACCCGCACAAAAAAACGACGCGGTCCGTCGGAAATGTGGCGGAGAACTCTGCGGAGCTCGACCCCTTGGAGCGTCGGGCGCCGACTCTCAACTGCAGGTGCGGACCGCAAGCGGCGCGGACGGAGAGGGCGCGCCCTTGGCGAGGGGGTGCCAAGCCGCGAAAGCGGTCGGCGAGACCACAATGGAGGCGCTCCTCCGCCGGGCGGCGGCCCAGCAAGTGACAGCGCGCTGGGCAAGCCAAGTGCTGGGCACGCAGCAGGTTGCATGCAGAAGGTAGACCGTGCCGGGTGGTCAACGCACACCTGAGAGGCTGTGTGCAGCGAGGTGGAACTGCCCGCATCAGCTGGCATGCGCCTCAACTGCTCCTATTGACTGAGGCGGCGATGTGGCTGAGTAGGTGGATCAAGGTAGAAGTGCAAAGAGGGCCTGCAACTTATTAAAACGAGCACACGGCTTGTAATCGCATGCCGGCTGGCCCAGCCCGCATAAGGTCTCTCTATGAGCTGCATCCCGTGTGACATAGCCGATTGTAACCAGAATGCGGTTGGGGGACCCGACATCGGTGCGAGCGGGTGCTCTAAGGGGTGGTTGGAGACGAGCTAGGCCAGGCGTAGGTGTGGTGGGTGCGCAAACCTGCGCGCGCACAGGCGCGCGGCCAGGCACAACGGCGCCCCAGCGTGTGTAGTGCAGTTCGTTGTTGGGCACAAGCGTGCGCGCCTCGGCCTCTGTCAGAATTTGCGCACACTCCTGTGCACAGCTGAGCATAGTGTCCATCGCGCGCTGCAAAGCGCGAGGTGTGAGCGGGCAAAGTACGGCCCGCGTGCCGGCACCGTCGGGCACAGACAATGTCCCAGCTCGCATAGCACGACGCCCAGGAGTGCCAAGGCATAGCACACCGTGCTTGCGCAGCTGCATCACCAGGCAATGCCCAGGGCGCGCTGAGCAGCACATAGGTGCGAATAGGTAGCGGTCGCCGCGAGGCCTGCACCGCCACGCACTGGCAATGCGCAGGCGTGCTCCCCACCAGCGAGTCCTGAGTGATAGGACAGTTGCCACCGACGGGACAAACGCGCACACCTCTCTGTCCAAAGCTGCCGTGGCAGACGGTGCATACACAGATTTCCGCGTGGCCGCGCGCCTAGACCGAATGGCACAGCGTAAGGCGTGGACGTAATCGCGCGGCCGAATGAACAACAAACTTGTCCGCGTGCCTCACGCGACACACATTACATGCATCGTGCGTCCGGCGCCAGGGCGCACTGCATGCACTCGAACGCGGAGCAACAAGTCTTGTTGTCATACTCGCCGTTGAATGAATGGCACAGCTCTGCGATGATTGCCTGCCAGTCGTACTCCACATAGCCACCTTGCTTGAGCAAGTGAACGGGCGGCGCGCCTGGGGTTCCGCTGACAAATGGTCGTGGCCAGGGCCGCGCACGGTGTAGCACGCATGCTGGGCCACTTCCCTGTTCCTTCGAAAGGGTGTGCGACAAGGCTTCCACGCAGCACGCGGCACGACAACAACAGGTGCCACCGACATGCCTGGACGCCCCATTCTGGAAGAACGCTGGTGTAGGTGGTAGTGAAGTCCCCGTCGGAGTCCGCGTCGAGGAAGATCCCAACCAAGGTCGAAACACTGCAGTTCGGAGTTGCCGAACTGGCCGAAAAGGCGGATGAGACAACAACAAAAAAACAGGTGAACAGCGGTCGTGGCGTAGCCGGCAAGCTGGCTGCATCTGGACGCGGTGTCTGCACTCGCCGGATGCGTGTCTCGACGGCTGCAATCCACAGTCGACGCATGCATGCACGGCCTAAATTAGCACGAAGGAGGAAGAAGGGCGAAGAGAGGACAAGAACGAGCAGGGGAGAGACCAGCTGGTGGGGATGCGAATCATCAAGAATGGTTTCGCATTCTGGGTGTTCGCCACGCTGCCGCCCGTGCTGCCTCGTGGGCGCCTCGTGGGCGGCCCCGCGAGTGGGGGGTATGCCGAGGTTGCGCCACGTTGCCACCCGTGCGGCCTCGCAACGTGCACTAGGGCACTAAGGGGGGAAGGGGGTATGCCGAGATTGCACCACATTGCCGCCCGTGCCGCCGCGTGGGCGCCTCGTGGGCGCCCTCTTCGCCTCCACTTCACACCGCCTAGCCGCTTTATGCCATCGAGCCTGTGTGGTGCACTCTATGTCGTGCAAGCTAGCTGTTGCAAGACACCCAGTGCAATCCACAGGTTATGAGCTACGTGGTGCAATATAGATAAATATATGTGTAGATATACATATACATATATACATATACATATATATATGTATATGTGTTATATGAATACATCGATATATATATATATATATATATATAACGTATACAGATATTGTAAGCTAGATCTTGCAAGGCCTGCGCTGCCATCAGTGTGTTCACCCGGAAGCGCCAGCCAGCGTGCGAGGTGCCCACGAGGCGCCCCACGGGAGGGCACCCGGCGAGAACGGCGAGAACCGAGCCAACGGACGAGGCGCCCACGAGGCGCACATGGGCGGGCGCGCGGCGAAAGCCCGGAGAACCCGGCCAATGCACCGGGCGCCCAAGCCCACCCACTCACTCGGCAGCCATACGAGAGGCCAGGGCTGAGCCTCAACGGTGCTTCGTTCTCCTTCAGTCCGCCTCTAACGCAAAACGAAATCGAAGCGAAAACGGCCAACGAAATCGCAAAAACACCGTGTAGGTCCAGCCCTGCAAGAAGCCCCTTGTGGGAAAATGGAGGGGATGAGGGAACGGGAACAATAGAACGGTGAGGAGGTGCAGGGGAGGCAGAACCATTCACCCTGCCCGTTGGAAGCCCTGAGACCTAGGTACAACCTATCTGCGCGCATCGAGCCCCGCGATGCGCGACGCGCGGTGGTCTTCGCACTCTCGCGCCGCCGTCTTGGAGAAGATTGCCTCTCCGACCCAAGCCGGGATGCGCGAAGCGCGATTGCCTGTGGGGTGACCTCCACCCGGCGCCAAACCTCTAAAAAGACGACGACGTCGACAACGACGTCGGCGTTGTACAGTCGAGTCTGATTGGAGAGGACGCGCGAGAGGACACGAGATCCTTCCGAGGCCGCATTGCCACAGGAATGTAGAAAGCGTGGGCCGCGAACCGCAGGACACAAGGGTACCCGGTACCCTTGATTTCGCAGAGTCGGCAGAGTCGACCTGCTAAGCAGCCTCGACCGTAGGTGCGTCCGTAGGGCGCCTGACGGTCTTCTCGCCCGCCGCAGTGCAGACGCCGCCTGGCCGCCGCGAGGCCACGGGCGGAGCGATGCGGACTGCAGGGCACCCGCGGTGCCTGCGAAGGCGAAGAGGCCAGGAAGGCGCTGGCCGAATCTCAGCGAGGAAAGCAACAGACGGAGACTGAAATATCTGAGAAAGCACTCTGCAGAACGCCACTGAGATGCTCAGCCAGGCTGATGCGCCGTCTTCAAAAGTTTGGCTGGTGCCTCGCTGGCTTCACTGACGCCCAGAGACTGCAAATTCACCCCTTGGGACAGAAGCTTGCCTATGGTGACCATTTGGAAACACAAGCTCGTGCAGGCCGTTAAGTCAGCAGTGGTCGAAGGTGCGACGCCAAGAGCCATCCGGAACGACATGCATGGTACGAGCTCGGCGTTGGGCGATCGGGTGCGTCGAGAAGGGGGGCCAGGAGCAGGAGGAGGAGGAAGAGGAGGAGGAGGAGGAGGAGGAGGAGGAGAAGGAGGAGGAGGAGGAGAGGGCAGAGGGGCCAGGAGGAGAGGGGGGGGGTCCCAGCAGGCCAGGCCAGGGATGCCCACTGCAGAGGGGCCAGGGAAGCGAACAGAACGCACTGCGAAGCTTTTTTTTGGGGGGGGGGGGAGGCCAGGGCCAGGGGCCAGGGCTGCATGAAAGATCTCCGAGGATACGAACAACTGGCCACGGCGCGGCCATGACGGCCTGCGCCAGTTCTGCCAAAGGGACTGAGTCTGCTTCCAGAGGCCCCCCGACGTGACACCACACAGCGGAAGAGACAGAATCCGAATTTGTTGCAGAAACCCTGGCTTGCTGCCTGAGGCCGAGCACCGAAAAGGAGGACGAGGAGGAGGAGAAGGGGAAGGCGAACGAGGGAGGGGAAGGACCGAACTGGCGGCCGTAACGAGGGCCTCTTCGCAACAGTAAACGGCGCATCCCGGGCGGATTATCCTCTTCTTCTTCCTCCTATTCACAACGCACTCTGTCTCACCATCCCAGATATTCCTCCCCCTTCTCATCATCCTCTCCCTCCTCCTCCTCTCCCTCCTCCTCCTCCTCCTCCTCCTCCTCCTCCTCGTGCTGACGTGCCTCACCTCGTCCTCCTCCCCCTCCTCCCCCCCTGCCCCTCTGTTCCTTCTCTTCCTGCTCCAATCCCCGCGCGCTCAGGAGCGGCCGGGCCACTTTTGACCTCGAGCTTGAACGGCAGCGTCCTGGGGGCCGCTGGGAGGCGTCGGAGGGCTCGGGAACGCGGGGCCCGCAAGCATGAACTGCCACCTAGTGGCCATACAGGGCAATTCTTTAAGACATGGGATGTTTTAAATTATCGGGTTTTTGATAATGATAAATTGATGAGTAAATTCATGCGTGAACTCATCGTTGTTTTTGATACTACATCCCTGCATTTTTAATACATGATCCGCATGCGGAGCATGTATTAAAAACGGCACTGTAGAGTAGCACGAAGCACGCGCGCGCGGCCGCCCTGACGGCAGCCGCCACTGCTTGCCGCGCGCTGGGCGCCAGTCCGCGCTGGCCTCATGCGGTCGGCAACTTTTGCTTACGCCGCGGCGGCCACGGCGACGGGCTATGCTCTGCGAGGTGGTGGCGTGACGCTCCGCTCCGGGGGGGGGAGGCTGGGAAAAGCCCGGATGTTGATGCGTGGGGGCTGGGACGTGTTTAGCGTGTCGCGCCGAAGCGTGGTAGGCCAGAACCAGCGGCGCGACACGCTGAGCCAAAGATCCTCACCGTAACTGTGAGTACAGATGTCACGTTCGGACTGGCGAAATGCGTGTGGCTGTTCTGTTGATTGCCAAGTGGTGGTGGCGTGTACAGTTGGCAGCCCCCCCCAGAAACCTGATCACCACGCCGACACGACATTACACCGACTGCACGTGTTGCTTCTTGTGCGTGCGAACGCACGCCCAAATAATATTGCACACACGGTATGCTCTTTACGCGCACCGTGGCAAATCGTTCGACGCGCCGCGCGAAGACAACCCGGCCAGCCTGCACGCAAGAAAACGAGCCGGCGGTGCTGATGATGTACGTTGGCCTCGGAAGCAGGGACGCACGGCGCGCGTCCAGCCGTCGACCAGGCTGACGTCGACCGAGTCGCACCCAGCCATCGTCGCAGGGTTGGAGGCGTCGCAAGGCTCCCCTTCGCGGCCCCAGGTGGCCTGCGTCGCTGGCGCGGGCCCTTCTCCTCTTGCCCTCCTCCGGTGCCGCAGGTGCCGCTCAGGTGTCGCTGCGGGCCCAAATCCCGCCAGGTCCCCTGGCGCCTCCCGCCACACCCTGCAAACGTCAAAGACTGAGTACTGGGGGTGGACAGCCCGTCCCAGGGAAGTGGTCGGAACCTCCAGGAGTATTGTGAAGCAGTTGCGACGTCGGAGGTTGGGGGGTGAGATCGCCGTGGAACGGAGAACCCCGACCGGGACATCGTTTCGTTTCGCTCGTGTCGTGCGTGTGGGCGAGGCGAGGCACTGAGTCCGTCCCGCCCGTCCGGCGGTGTCCCGCGGTGTCCCGTGGTGTTCCGTGGTGTCCCGTGGTGTCCGCCGTTGCTCGGGCGAAGTCAAGACAAATGATTCTCCCCCGCCCGTCCGTTCGTCCGTCAGTCTGGCGGTGGCTCGCGGTGTCCCGCGGTGTCCCGTGGTGTCCCTTTGAGTGAGATCGATAGCGAGATCGATACTGAGATCGATGTGGTGCCCCGAGGTGTCCCAAATAGAGATTGATAATGGGATCGATAGTGAGATCGACAGGTGTCCCGTGGTGTCCCGTGGTGTCCCTATGAATGAGATCGATACTGAGATCGATAATGACACCGATACTGAGATCGATGTGGTGCCCGGAGGTATCCCGCGGTGTGCCAAACAGTGAGATCGATAGCGAGATCGATCGGGGGTTGAAGGGTAAGACCGCAGTGGAACGGAAACCCCCAAGCAGGACATCGTTTGGTTCCGTTCGTGTCGTGCGTGCGGACGAGGCGTAGCTGCGTGGGCGCGCGAAAGACACGAACACGCCACTGCTAGGGCGTAAGTCAAGACAAATGGTTATCCCCCTCCCTCCCGCCCGTCCACCGGTGGCTCGCGGTGTCCCGCGGTGTCCCGTGGTGTCCCGTGGTGTCCGCCGTTGCTCGGGCGAAGTCAAGACACGTGATTATCCCCCGTCCGCCCGTCCGTCCGCCCGTCCGGCGGTGGCTCGCGGTGTCCCGCGGTGTCCCGTGGTGTCCCGTGGGGTCCCGTGGTGTCCCGTGGTGTCCCGTTGAATGATATCGATAGGGAGATCGATAGTGAGACCGATAATTTAATCGACACTGAAAACGATGCGGTGCCCCGAGGTTTCCCGAACTGCCCCAACAAAAAGATATCAATAATGAGATCGATAATGAAATCGACAAGTGCCCCGCGGTGTCCCAAACAGTGATGTCGATAATGCTATCGATCGAATTACCGATATTGAGATCGATGTGGTGCCCCGAGGTGTCGGGGGGGCACGCGTTGAGGAAGACATGGTGTACCCACAACATTTGATACGTTGCGCAAAAAACTTTACTTGGGCTGGGAGACCTCGTCGGATGGGAAAGCGCGCCCCAAAGCCTCTGAGCCGAGACCCTCCGGAGAAGGATGGGGAAGCCCCAGCGCCCGTCGCTGTCCTAAGAGGCCCCTCTCGGATTACTCACTTCCCCTTCGCCCAAATCCGCAACTGCACGTCTTACACTGGAGTCGGAGGTACGATGAGAAATGTGGACGCCACCGGCCCTGCGTACCACAAACCCCCATCCAATTCTTATCGTCCGCGCATTCATTGCCCTGCTGCTACCATTTGTGTCTACTATCACGGAAAAGGAGAAGAATTGATAAAGAGACGGCAGCGGAGGAGGAGGAGGAGGAGGAGGAGGACGACGACGACGACTACGGTCACACCGCCGATTCCCAAACAGCGCTTGCACTACGCCGCGCAGACACCGACTGGGGTCCACGCAACACCCCGATTCCCCAAAGAGTTTTTGCACTGACGGGATCCCTGTTTGGGGTCCCATCAGTCGCCCTGTTTTTTTTTTTCTCAGGGCTCTCGTTGGGATAGTCACCTTCGCGATCTGCCCAGGCCTAACACCCAACGCGCCCCCACGTGCAGGGCAGGGCATTAATAGCTCCGCTCTACCGCGTCGCACTGCCCCAACGCGAGCCCCTTACCGAGCGACCTAGGATTCGAAGATGCGGAGCTGCTTGACCCAGAAGAATCTCGCGCATCCTGGACAAGCGCCGCTCCCTCCTCTTCGCCGGATGATTCTGGCCGGGACCGCTGTGGCACGCCGCCAGAGGTTTTACCCCAGCAGCGCTCGCACCTGACGAACCGATCCTCGTATTCACCAGGCGTTCCCTTAATCGCTTCTACTGGCGCCCGCGACCGTGCCCACCAGAAAGAGCAGCGCGTACGGCGCGGCTCTTCTTCGGACTGGCAGTCCAACATCATGCTGCTCCTGTTGAGCACTAGACTACATTCTGGCGTGGGGCGATTCGCTCGCAACGTCTGCCTTACAGCAGGCGCCGCAGCCGCCTCAGAGGGAGCACGCGACTCTGGGACTTCGAAATCCAGCGCCGGCGCAAACCCATCGCGAACGCGCCCCACGATGTCACGCTTGAAGAGCAATTCAAATACACAGCGCGCGCGATCGTAGCGGACGGGCATTCCCGAGCCGGGACCCCCCTTGCCCAGCTTTCGGCGTTCCTCCATGGGAAAGCGAAGTTGGCCGGCAAGCGTCGGGGAGAAAAACCTGGGGCTATGCAGCGACCACTCGGCGGTGTTTTCCACGCCGGCAAACTCGCGCAGCACCCGCCTCATGACATTCAGCGCGCCAGAATATTTCTCTGGGCGCGCTGGGCTCAGAACGACTATCTTGCCAGACTCCACGGCCATCGATGGGACGATAAAGTCCGCTTTAGCAAGATCCACGTAACGGGCCACGGCGCCGTGAAACTGCCCGCCCCAGTCACGCCCGTGCCAATCCCTCCGGAGGGGGCCCACGGAATTCTGCCGATTTTCTTCTTTGACCGCCACGTTTTTGCGCACAGTGCGTCCCGCGACAGATTGCAGGACGTGGACCTCTGTAGGTCCCCCCAACGAAGGCAACCGAACGCGAGCGCCAATACAAACCCAACAACAATTACAACTGCTGCGTCGCATGCTTCAGCTGCCAAAAAGAAGCTGCTCAGAAGGCAATATAGGATTGCCCTCGTCAGCGGGCTCGCCTGCTGCCGCTGCTCCTCTTTCTGCTTGCTCGACATGCGACTCTGGGCCTCGACCAGCGGGTCCTCCAGCGGCCACGAGAACTGAAATACTTCCTTCGCCTACAACAGCGATGCGAAGGATGTCTTGGCACTGACGGCCCTCTACCGCTGGCGTCGCGGAGAAATAGCGCGACATCGGTTGCACCCAACGACCATGGCTGGAGCCCGGCCGCTTCTGCCCATTTGTGCAGCCGCGCTAGGTTCCGCAGGTGGGATCGCACCGTCGCCGCCGCGGACGCCCTTCCGACCACGACAAGCCGCAAGAGAGCAGATGGACCTTCCCAGCTGAGGCCCCTGAGGGCCCATCCCCTGAGTCTCGGCGATGCATCCCCAGTGTGGCTGGCGAAATCCAGCACTAACCCGACTTGCTGGGCCAGCTCTGCAAGGTCTCTCGGTCTTGGCAGCTGTTTTCCATCGTCCCCAATTTGCGCCTCTTCCTCCCAGGAAAAGGCAGTCACCAGCGGCAACTCTCCACAATTGGTCGCGGGCTCTGCCCGTGCTTGCAAGGGGCCGCGAAGGACTCGTTCTCCCCCGGCCAACGCTGCACGAGCATGCCCCCTGACGGCCGCAGAAGCATTTCGATCTACTCGTGCATAAAATTCCATGGCCACAGCCGGGCTACACTGGGCTTCACCGCCCAACTCTGTGACAGCGTCTTCTGATGAATCAAACCAGCTATGTACTCTGAGAGTCGAAGAAAGGTTTTTTCTCATCAAGTACTGTTCCAAAGTCAGTCTCTGGCACCCCTGTGGGCACACATGCTTGTAGTCGCGGCGACAAGACGGACGCGTGATCAGACATTGGTTGCCTCCTGCCATACCGCTGGAAACGCTTGAGCAAAAGCGCGCCCCGAAACCTCTGAGCCGAAACCTTCTGGAGAAGGATGGGGAAGCCCCGGCGCCCCCTCGCCCAAATCCGCAACTGCACGTCTTACACTGGAGTCGGAGGTACGATGAGAAATGTGGACGCCACAGGCCCTGCCTACCACAAGCCTCCATCCAAGTGTCCCGTGGTGTCCCGTGGGGTCCCGTGGTGTCCCATTGAGTGAGATCGATAGTGAGATCGATTGAGTCAGATGTTGGTTCCCCCCCTCTCCCCCCCCCTCCCCCCCTCAGGGTGGTCGTATAGGTCGAGAGTGTGGGATCGTATGCGCCGCTGTGGACCAACCAACCACCGGCCAGAACTGGAAGAGTACAACGAACAAGGACAGAAGGCAGCAGCAGGGGACGGAACAATTGCTGGGTCATGGGTCCTGTGGAGCACGCTTTGGGTCCTGCTTCGGCCCATGTGCCTTATGTCCGGCTTCGGGGTGGCCGCCAAGGCGAAGCTGAGCAAAGCGAGAGCAGTAGAACGGTGGACTTTATACCATCGGGATGCCATCATTAGGTCGTGCGTGTCCTCCTACAGGCGGATTCCGAAAGAACCATGAAAGCACAGTCCAAAAATACTCGTTGTATGATAATGGTAGCACGAAGTATCGTCACCAAATTGTTTCTCCCAACATCCTGTGGTGTTGGGTCCTCGTTGTGAAGAGACGGTCCCCGCGTTACATCCCTCCTTCCCTCCTTCCTTCCTCCTCCCTCCTCCTCCTCCCCTCCTCCCTCTCCCTGCGTTTGACCCACCCAGTACAGCGCTCCGTGGCCCCATAGGGGCCTCCACCGAAGGTCCAAATGGGGCCGCCCGCACGAGTCAGACACCACCCAGCACAGCGTTTCGTGGCCCCATATGGGGCCTCCACCATAGGCCCCAGTGGCACCGCCCGCATGCGTCAGCCACCACCCAGTAAAGCGCTTCGTGGCCCCATAAGGGGCTCCACCGAAGGTCCCAGTGGCACCGCCCGCATGCGTCAGCCATCACCCAGCACAGAGCTTCGTGGCCCCACACGGAGCTCC